AAATGAGCAAAAATTCAAAAACATTAATATTTGAGCNCAATAGTGATAAATCAGTTAAGGAAGTTGGTGATGAATTAGAAGAATCATATAAGAAAGTTATTGGAGATTTATTTGATTGTAGTTCAATAATTGAATCAAAACAAATTGAAAATAATATTGAAATTGAACATATTCATAATAGATTCGAATCAAAATATGCTCCTTTCAAAGATGAATTTGAATGGAGTCTGTTCATGTTAGTTAAAAATGACAGATTGTCAAAAGTTCAGTATGAAAGAGTTGTTGAGATATTTGCTTTAAAGGATATTAATATTCCTTCTTATGATTCTATTTGTAGAAAACCTATTGATTTTCAAAAACCTATTTCACCACTAGATGATAATGATTTTGTTTATTATAGTTTAAGGGAAACTATCAACAATCTGCTTGCAGATCCTTTTATTTCTAATAATATTTATACTAAAGATGGAGCTCTTAACTTCAATAGAGAACAACAACCATTCAAAACAAATGGTTTCATGAAGATTGCCAACAAGATTGATTCAACTCCTATTGTATTTGCTCCATATTTAGATGAATATCAAAAGAATAGAACAGGTACAAGTCAAGTTACTGGATTTTATTTTACTTTATTCAACTTTGAACATAATTTTATGACAAGCTCAATGGAATCCATTTCATTACTTGGGAAATGTAGAAATATTAAGGGTTTATTTAAAATGTTGGAAATGTTTGTTAATGAATATAATGAAATTGAAGGGAAAACATTTATTGTGAAACATTCAGGTTTACAAAAAGAAGTATCTCTTCAATACGTATTAGGTCCTTGGATTTGGGATTCAGTTCAAAGATGGTTTACTTTATTCATGGAACAATATCTTTGCTCCAGATGTCATTGTCCAAAAAATATGTACAGCTCAACTCCAGATGAATTAATTGATTCATACAATGAGTTCTGTTTCAAGAATCCGTCTTTAAATTTGAAACAATTTATACCAAAGCCCTGTAAAGAACATGAAACGGAAACAGAACAAGAATTGCAAGTTGAAACTGATCTCCAAACGCACAATCCAAATGATATTGATGAAGAATGTAATTATTTCAATCCAGAAACAGGAAAAGAAGATGATCAAGATGAAGAAAATCAAGAAACTGATAATATGGAAGATGAACCAGTTTTAGAACATACATTTAGCATTAGAACTGTAGATGAAGCTGTTTCAATTCATGAAAGTATTGAAACAACACCTAAAAAGGAAAGAAAAGGGTTTAAATTATTATCAAAACAAGAAATTGAATTAATTGATTCAAAATTTGATTACAATACTGTACAAAGAAAGCTCACTCAAATGAAAAAAAATGGTGTTACACTTGAAAAACAAGATAACCCATTGTATAAGCTAAGAAATCATGACGTATTTAAGAATTCAACAGTTGACTTTATGCATGTGTTTGTTCAAGGTGAATTAAGAAGACATTTGACTGCATTAATAGAATATTTTTCATACCCAAGATTATTTTCTGATTTTCAGGATATTATAGATGAGTTTTATTTAAGTTCTGGAGAATCAATTAGAATGAGAGCATCAAATTATTTGAATTGTTCAGCTGACGAATTTTTAGAATTTGGTTTTTATAGTATTCCAATAATTTACAAGTTAATTTATTCAAATAAGGAATTGAAACATATTTCACAAGAAAAAAGAACTAGACATGTTGTTTGTTGGGTAGAACATATTGCATGGACTAGTATGTTATTAAGAAATGAGGTAACAATTCTTTCTATTGAAAAATCCAAATCTATTTTCCTCCAATTCAGAGAACATTATGTTGAATTATATCCAAACAAATGTCATAATGTTAATTTCCATTGGGTAACTCATTTATTTGAAGATTGTCAAGAATGGGGAAGTCCTAGATACTTTTGGGCTTTATTATTCGAATTGAAACACAAACTTTTTAAAAAGTTTAATGATGGATCGAATCATAAGGATGTTGAAAAGCGGGGTGCAGCATTTGAAAAGTTACATGTCAGTCTTAATGCTAAATATCCTTGGTTACGAAAGAAATCAAAACAATGGTTTAAAGCAATTGCTCCAAATCAATACTTAATGTTTAAACAAGAAGGAAAATTATACATAGGATGTATTCAATCACATACAAAAGATACAGTTAAATTTGGAAAAGTGTGGATTGTTACAAATGATTATCACCAAGTATGTCAATTCAGAAAATTGAATAGAGTGAAATCTTCCAATTTAAACGTTGATTGGAAAGATATCAATGCTAGATGCCAAGTTGTTTACATTGATTCCAAGTTTTACTTGAATCAATTTATGTTAATCATGAATTATTATAAATTTTAAAAATTTTGAAATTCTTTTACAATAAAAAAATTTAATATTGAAATAATAATATATTTATTCGATAGTTGTTCAACCTTTTCAGGTAAAAAATTAAATTTATGTAATAAAGGACTCATTCTATAATATTACGATTAATTTAAAATTCATATTGTTTATTTATTTCTTGTAAAAATTGTAAAAATATCCATGCCTTGTTTGCATACCTATTCCCGTTCCTATTTTCTGCCGTACCTTGGTCGTTTCTTAAGTTAACATATTTTCTTTTCGAAATATCATTATTCTACATAATTTTATTAAATTCAATAATGACCCTTTCTATAAACAATTAGAAAGTAGGGCAATTACAACTCAAATTATTTCCACCACTAACAGCAGGAGTACACATAGCACAAGCAGTAAACTTTAAATTGTCATCACTCCATGAAACAAATGGATCCAAAAGCATAACCTTCTTATACGGAACATCAACACATCCAGAATTGAGCATTTGAGTTTGGAAATAAGTCTTCCATACACTCCCATTGGCATTATAAATATTGACACGAACACCAAAGGCACCATCAGCATTTCTAAACTTTTCCAGAGCAACATAACCAGCTGGACATGAAGTTCCCTTTCTAACATGATTTCCAGGAGAAGAACTTCTTGTCTTGTTCATCAAAACTGATCTTGCATTGTTGTTGATATCAATAATGCCAAATCTGTCCAAA